TTGGCACCCATACATGCCCACGCCATGACACTACCACCACCATGCTTCACTGATGAGGTGGTATGCTTAGGATCATGAGCAGTTCCTTTCCTTCTCCATACTCTTCTCTTCCCATCACTCTGGTACAAGTTGATCTTGGTCTCATCTGTCCATAGGATGTTGTTCCAGAACTGTGAAGGCTTTTTTAGATGTCGTTTGGCAAACTCTAATCTGGCCTTCCTGTTTTTGAGGCTCACCAATGGTTTACATCTTGTGGTGAACCCTCTGTATTCACTCTGGTGAAGTCTTCTCTTGATTGTTGACTTTGACACACATACACCTACCTCCTGGAGAGTGTTCTTGATCTGGCCAACTGTTGTGAAGGGTGTTTTCTTCACCAGGGAAAAAATTCTTCGGTCATCCACCACAGTTGTTTTCCATGGTCTTCCGAGTCTTTTGGTGTTGCTGAGCTCACCGGTACGTTCCTTCTTTTTAAGAATGTTCCAAACAGTTGTTTTGGCCACGCCTAATGTTTTTGCTATCTCTCTGATGGGTTTGTTTTGTTTTTTCAGCCTAATGATGGCTTGCTTCACTAATAGCGACAGCTCTTTGGATCTCAACTTGAGAGTTGACAGCAACAGATTCCAAATGCAAATCGCACACTTGAAATAAACTCTGGACCTTTTATCTGCTCATTGTAACTGGGATAATGAAGGGAATAACACACACCTGGCCATGGAACAGCTGAGAAGCCAATTGTCCCATTACTTTTGGTCCCTTAACAAGTGAGAGGCACATATGCAAACTGTTGTAATTCCTACACCGTTCACCTGATTTGGATGTAAATACCCTCAAATTAAAGCTGACAGTCTGCAGTTAAAGCACATCTTGTTCCCTTCATTTCAAATCCATTGTGGTGGTGTATAGAGCCAAAAATGTTAGAATTGTGTCGATGTCCCAATATTTATGGACCTGACTGTGTATATATATATATATACACACAGTCACTCACAAAGGAATGATCAATTTAAAAATCGAATGGTAGGCGTATTGTAACACTGAGAGAATAGCAACAAAAATTTTAAAAGAAGTGCATGTCTAACAAATTATGCACTGATTTGCATGTTCATGAGGGAAATAAGTGTTTGATCCCCTTCACAAAACATGACTTAGTACTTGGTGGCAAATTCCATGTTGGCAAACACAGATGTCAGATGTTTCCTGTAGTTGGCCACCAGGTTTGCACATATCTCAGGAGGGGTTTGGGCTCCCTCCACAGATTTTCAGTCGCATTAAGGTCTGGAGACTGGCTAGGCCACTCCAGGACCTTAATATGCTTCTTCTTGAGCCACTCCTTTGTTACCTTGGCTGTGTGTTTTGAGTCATTGTCATGCTGGAACACCCATCCACGGCCCATTTTCAATGCCCTGGCTGAGGGAAGCAGGTTCTCACCCATTATTTGACAGTACATTGCCCCGTCTATCGTCCCTTTGATGTGGTGCAGTTGTCCTGTCCCCTTATCAGAAACCCCCCCCCCAAAGCAGAATGTTTCCACCACAATGTTTGACAGTTGGGATGGTGTTCTTGGGGTCATAGGCAGCATTCCTCCTCCTCCAAACACGGCGAGTTAAGTTGATGTCAAAGAGCTTGATTTTGGTCTCATCTGACCACAACACTTTCAACCAGTCCTCCTCTGCATCATTGTTCAGATGTTCAGTGGCAAACTTCAGACGGCCTGGTTTCTTGAGAAGAGGGACCTTGCAGGCACTGCAGGATTTCAATCCTTGTCGGCATATTGTGTTACCAATTGTTTTCTTGGTGACTGTGGTCCCAGCTGCCTGGAGATCATTGACAAGATCCTCACGTGTAGGTCTGGGATGATTCCTCACTGGTTTCATGATCATTGACACTCCGCGAGGTGAGATCTTGCATGCTGCACCAGACCTAAGGAGACTGACAGATGCAGATGTTTCTTCCATTTGAAAATGATTGCACCAACTGTTGTCACCTTCTCACCAAGCTGCTTGGCCATAGTTTGGTAGCTCAGTCCAGCCTTGTGTAAGTCTACAATTTTGTCCCTGACATCTTTGGACAGCTCTTTGGTCTTTGCCATGGTGGAGTGTTTGGAATCTTATTGTTTGCTCCTGTGAACAAATCAGCAGGGGATCAAATACTTATTTCCTTCACTCTATATAAAATATATATATATATTATCATATATATATATATATATATATATATATATATATATAAATAAACACTTGCCCATCCTGCCGCAGGCCCCTGAACTCATAATCGGGGACGAACCTTCACCCCTCATGGCAGGCCTTATCCTAAAGACCTTCAAGGACTCGGTCCCCCTTATTAAAATGGGGGCCAGTGCCGTAGACCCATAGAGCATCCTGCCGGAAGCGCCTTGGTCAGATCAAACTGCACAGGGTTCCAAAAATACAGGGTCCAGCATTGTTAAGCCGCATTACAGACAAAACTCTGAGGATTCTTCTCCTTATCTAGTGAGGCTCGGGTATTATCCATTTTGGCTAACAGCTTTTCGAATGGATCCAATTGAGGCCCTTGACTCTCAGTAGAATCATTCCAGATCTCCCAGTATACTTCACAGAGCATATGCAGCACATTTTCAGGGAACATCCACCTTACAGACACTGGTGAAAGAACTGAGTACTTCCTGTGTAGGAGGGGTTATATGGGTAGGACTTCGTGTTTGATTGGTCGGCCAGTGTCCAATCACCTATAGGTGGCATATAACCCACATAGTCATTATTTTGTCCTGCTCTGTGTCCTGTGATGTACAAGAAAGAAAGTTGGGACAGGGCAACAAAATGCTGGCAAAGTAAGTGGTACTAACAAGCTGAGAGAACATTTTGCAACTAACTAGGTTAATTGGCAACAGGTCAGTTACATGGCTGGGTATAAAAAGAGAATCTTAGAGAGTCAGAGTGTCTCAGAAGTAAAGATGGGCAGAGGTTCATCAATCTGTGAGGCTGAAACGCAATATTGAAGGCCCGTGATCTTCGAGCCCTCAGATTGCACTGCATTATAAACAGGAATGATTGTGTGATAGACATAAGTGCATGGGCTTATTATGACCCAATCTGTGTCCCGTGATGTACGATATAGAAATATATTTGTTTCTCTCCAATAATGCTATCCACTATCATATCAAAAATATGCCAGGTCTAAAAGAGTCCGATTCACTTGTATTATCCAGTCATGTGAAAAGCAAATTCCTCTTTATATAATTCACATGATTGGGTATTCAAAGTCAACACAGCTACAATTCATTAAGCCATGATTATCATCTCCTTTAGTAAATTAACTTTACCCTAGGTTCACACCTAAGTGTTTTCTGCAGAGTTTTGCAGAAATGCACTACAGTCCATTTAACATGATTTCCTATGGGACAGGTTCACATCTCATTTTCACCCGGTACGTTTTTTGGAAAGGGTCAGGGACTTGTTTAAATGCAAAAAGTTGTGTGTTTGGTTCTATAGACTTCAATGGAAACACTGCAGAAAAGCATGTTTTGCGTTTTATTCTGCCTAGCACTAGGTGTGAACCTAGTCATAGGGTCCATGCATACTATGCAGCTGAAAAAAATGCCAGAACCTCTGACAGAAAAAAGCAGCATAAAAAAACACTCAGTGGATCCTATAGCAGAAGAGCTTTTGAGCATTTATGGTCATTTGCTTTTATAAGCATTTTTCCCAAATCTTCCCCTCTACTCATTTTTCACTATAATCAAGGAACACTTTAAAACGCTGAACGTTCCTAAGCCCTGCTTTTATGTGCGTCAAGCGGTTTTTTGGAGGGTTTTTTTTGGCTCAAAAGCTCATCTCAAAAATGCACTTTGTTTTTTTTTCAGACTGAAAACATTCCTTTGCAAATTTGCCTGTAAATGATCAAATGTGCATGGACAAATAGGCTAATATAATTCATAGCCAGGTGTATCCAATGTATCATCCTGCATGATCACCAACTAAGCAATTTGCCAGTTCTTGGCAAGATTACAGTAGGTCTCCAGCCAAAACCCTTGTCAGACATTTTGGTGCTCTCTTTATCCTTTATGTCATTCCCATTGAGGAGTGGTCACCAGAAGAGAAGGTGAGAGAAATGTAATACTGTACATACACTTATAGAAATATGACAGTAACCAGGTGAAATGTTACCCTACCCCTACACAAGAATCCAGGAGTGGTGAAGCGTGTCAAGGAAAGCTGCTTTTTGGGTGGAGGTATTGTTGCATGCAGTCAGTGTATTGATTATTAACAAATACTGCAAAAAGAGCTATGTGAAATGACGCCAACATTCTTTTTTGTTCAGGCTATATGGCCGGCACCCGGTTTGTCTGTGTACAAAAGCTATGGATCTGTGTATTTTTCTTTGCTGGTTATCTTCTTGGGAGGCAGTCTCCCTGCTGCCTTGTACATTCTCCTACCTCTGGAGCCTCTGAAGGCCATGTGTTCCAAGATCTACATTCACAAAGGAGATAGAATCAACATTCCGAATGGCATGTGGAGAAGCAACCTTAAAATGCTAAAATGCCTGTGTCCCTGTCAGTCGATAATCTGCATGTTACTTTCAGTGCCAGTTCTTGAAATAAATAGCAGAGATGCCACTGTATGATCATATGTCCCTATAATACAAAACATAATCAATGTTTTTCCTAGGGTACAGCTGTGCTGAACAGCGTTGTTACTGTAGGAAAACAAGTGTGTTAGGACTACGTGACACCTCCCTCTGGTCTCCATAACAGGAGGAAGTGTTTGTAGTCCAAAGAGATAGCAGGGAACAGTGCAAACTGATAACAGTCCAGAGATGGAGAGCAGAGGAATTTATCAGCTCACAAGACTTGTGGCTAAATGGGTAGCTATTTTTTTTTTCTGCACTTGTCGAACAGATATAATAAAACACTTACAATGGTATAGTTAACCGACCAAAAGAAAGCAAATAAGTGAAATTTATTGTTTGAGTCTACAATTGTTTTTTTTTTCTCTTTTTAGTCTTTGGCAGACAGGCAGCAGCGTGAAGAGGAGACCTTTGCTGATGCACCTGATGAGTTTCTTGATCCTATTATGAGTACTGTTATGTCAGATCCAGTCATTCTGCCATCCTCCCGTGTCACTGTGGACAGGTCAACCATTGCTCGACATCTACTAAGGTAACTATTAGATGACTTACTGTAAATGTATAAGATGTATAACGTTCATGGGATACTTGAAAAATGTGCTGCATGTTCTAGCATATGCAATAATGTGAAACGTGTGCTTGCTTTTTCTGCAGAGATGCTCAGTTCTTGGTCCAACTTGAGATAAACGGTATACAGGGGGCAGGAAAGCAAGTTACGCGGGAGCAGGGCACAATAAATGGGAGCAGGGCACAATAAATGGGAGCAGGGCACATTATGGGGCACACAGCAGGGCACAATATGGGGCACATTACACAGGGCAAATTACAGTACTGATTTCCTTCATATGCAGAGCATGGTGGGGAAGAGGCTGTGATCAGTCCTCTTGTGATATGCTGTTTCCCGCCAGCCCCTCCTCCTCTCTTGTCCATCTCAGGTGATGTCACATTAAAGCACCTGGGATGAACAGGAGGGGAGTAGGGGCCATCTGGGAACAGTGGAGTAACTCCCGTCATTGCTAGTTCCTTGTCATTGCTAGTTCCTGTCCTCCTGTAGTGTAGTTCCTGTCATTGCTGGAGTGAATATATTTTTACAAAAAGTACATAAAATGATCTACTGCTGCTGTGAGAAATTTAGCTACAACTCTTACTATATGCAATGGACACCACTGGTCCCTGGTCTTTACCTGGTCTCATTATAGCAAATCCTTAGTGATATCTTGCAACATTAGTAAGTGTTATCCGGCCAGAGATGGTTTGAATCTTGGCTGGTTCAGCAGGGACCGGTTGAGATTCAAACCATCTATGGGTAGACTGATTGTACCCAAGTCGATCCAATGATTGACTTTGGTACATCCAGCATGTCGGATTTGTACATTTGATTATTGCCAGCAGCTATAGCCACTAGCAGCAATCACTGTGTTCTCCCGGTAGGGACGGCTTGTGTTATTCTTCAAAAAGTAAATTTTCAAACTTCTTAGCTTTTACATTTTGACCAAAGCTACACTTTGGAGTCTATTTATAAAAAACAGTGTTGGATAAATGTAACAAGCATTCACCCATCCTTGACAAATTCTGGCTGTATTTTTATTATGTATACTTATATCCAGTGATCATAAGCTGAATCTAGTGGCCATAATGTGCTATTTATTATAATTGAGTTTTTTCAGAACAAAATAATGACCACTAGATGGAGCTGACAATCATAGGAAATCACTGTATTAGGAAAAACATGGACAGAATTCCTCAAGGATGGGTGAATGCTTGTTACATTTGTCCAAAGGATTTCCTATAAATAGACCCCTTTATTGCTCATTTCATAAGTGTACTAGGCTCATTACAATATTGATTTTTAAAACAATGGTGTAGTTCTAAAGCCTAATAGCTTTTTTTTATCTTAATGCGTTCTCTGCATTAAGGTAAAAAAACCTTCTACCGCATGATCCTTCTTTTGCGTTTACTACCATTTTAAACCTTTTAGAAGTTTGATATATAGGGACAATCCTTTTGTTAATCTCTCTTTGTTGGAATCTGCTTTCAGTCAGATGTCCATTGTGTGCAGAAATGCTGTATAAAACAGTATATACTAGATGTGAATGACTTTAATTGTATGCCTTCTTTTATCTACAGTGATCAGACTGACCCTTTTAACCGAAGTCCTCTCACAATGGATCAGCTGAAACCAAATACCGAATTAAAGGAAAGGATCTTGAAGTGGCTGTCAGAGCGCACACAGCACAGTGAAAACACGGGACAATATTCATTGTAGAAGGACTCACAGACTGAAATTGCACTTTTAAAGAAGGCTCCAAACAGAATTAAGGCTCAGACAACAACCAGATTCTCTTTCATCGTTGCATTGTTCATCAGTATGTTTGTGAAGAGCAGACTGTGTCATGCACATATTTAGCATACACATTTTTAACATTTGATTACTTGCTGCCAAAGAAGGAAGAGTTAATACCTGCCCTTCAGCCAATATGTTTTGTGATCTTCTAACAGAGCTAGCTGTTGTACACCATAAAAAATTATGCACATCTCTTTGCAAAGACTGTTCTTTAAGAAGCCTGATAATATTCAGATCTGTGATGTTCCTGAGATAAACCCTTTTACCTTCAGCAGCGCTGGCTACTGCACAGTTGGACACCTTCAGTGTTTTTTTTTTTATTTTTTCCTTGTTCATTGGGATTTCTGGATTCCTTGTCAGATCAATTTGCCCCTTTTGATTTTAAGTTTTCAAGCTCTTTAGATGAAAGTTACAAGTGCTGAATTCTCTGGACTGATACCACTCTATCAACCACATCAAAATGATCTGGTACATTTTCCGTGATCTTGGGAAAATCTCTTGATGACAGTTTGTACAGGAATTGAAGTTCTTCTAGTGTTACTTATCTAGTTTACAACCTTTAGGTCATAGGTGGACTAAATAATGCAGATTTCAGAAATTATTCAATCATCCTTAGACAAATGTTAGAATTTTCAGTATATCATTTTTAAAATGTAGTTCACAGTATCAATTTTTTTTGTGTCACTAGGGATGTGTCTTGCTATGTTTTAGGTAAAGAAAGCTAATTCTGTGAATTGGACAAAATTAGGTGGAGAGTAATGTGTACGTATTAAAGCAGGAGAATAAATGTCTCTAAATATGGGAAGAAGATTCTAACTGCTGAACTGTAAATGTACAATAAATTATGTTAATAAATTGTAAATCTGCGTTTGAGTGCTTGCTTCATTGAATCTGGATTTCCTAATATTCATATGTACAATTCTGCAGCATAATGTGGTTCGCAAAACTCCACAGGACCCTGTAGGGCTGACTAAGGCTAGCCATACATGGAGAGATTTATGTTCAGCCTGCGGATGAACAAGAGAAATCTAATAGATTCCTCTATGCACACTAAACAGGGCAGTTAGAAGAATCTCTGCTGCCAGCTATTGTATTCAAACAGCCATGGCACCTGCAGCTCTTAAATACCCAAGCAGTGATTGCATCTGATGGGATGCAATCAGTGTTTGGCTGTCAATTTGCAACACAGCTATTTTTGATTTTTGACATTTATTGAGCTGGATGGTGCTGACAGTATTAAAATGAATAATGAGACATCCTGCCTAAAATATGGACCTAAGAATAACATGTAAATAAAATGTATGTACGTTATTAAATGTATATCCTTGACTCTGAACTCTCCTTTCGGTGCCAAATACAATCACTTTTCAAAGCTTGCTGTTGCAACATACCCCCCTTCCTAACCAATGATGCCACAAAATTCCTAATCCACTCCCTGGTTATCTCTTGTCTCAACTACTGCAACTCTCTCCTCATTGGCTTACCTTTGTGTAGGCTATCCCCCCTTCAGTCCATAATGAATTCTGCTGCCAGGCTCTTCCACCTTACCAACTGTTTAGTGTCTGCTACACCTCCATGCAAATCCCTCCATTGGCTGCCACTCACCCAACAAATTAAATTCAAAATACTAAAAACAACTTACAAATCCATCCACAACTCTTCATCTCTACAGCAGCTTCATCACTAACTGGTCCAAAAAAACTAACAATCATTCGTTCCTCCCAAAACCTCCTCCCATGCTCACTTCCAAGACTTTTCCTGAGCCTCTCCCATCCTATGAAATTCCCTACCCCAATCTGTCCGACTGTCTCCTACTCTGGGCACTTTTAGGCGATCCCTGAAAACTTTTTCTCTTCAGAGAAGCCTATCCTGCCTCCACCTAATAACTGTACTCTTTTTTTTCTCCATCAGCTCATCCCCCACAGTTATGACCTTTTGTATCACTTGACCCTCCCTTTTAGATTGTAAGCTCTCTAACAAGCAGGGCCCTCTGATTACTACTGTATAAAATTGTACTGTAACTGTACTGTCTGCCTTCATGTTGTAAACCGCTGCGCAAACTGTTGGTGCTATATAAATCCTGTATAATAATATATCACATGCCATAATTATACAACCTGATTGTACAATCTCTCGACAGTCCCCATGTAGTTTCACCAACACCATACATTATGAGGATAAATTCAAACACACCATTAGTGATAGAAATAGCTCACTGTACAATCAGATTGTAAAGTGTATGTACAGTATGTACAGCCTAAGAGGTTGTGAAAGAATTGTGTAACAGTAGAGTATACAATAGCACCACTACAGTACATCGGGGTCATTTGTCAGTGATGGGAGGGGTAACTGCTGTACCAAAAATTGCTTTGTGTGATCGAATAAAAAGCAAAGCAAATGTGTTTGTGTGTAATTTCAAACAAATATGACTCAAATAGTAGTCTAATGAGGTGAAACTACACTAAACCCCTCTACAAATCTGCCTTCCTCATCTACACCTCCTCCCTCCATGCCGCCAAACAAGCCTACTTCGTTACCCTCATCAACACCCTCTCCACTTGTCCTCGCCGGCTCTTCTCCACTTTCAACTCCCTACTCTCTCCCCCCCACCCCCCAGTACCTCACTCACCGCCCACGAGATTGCCAATCACTTCCAAAATAAGATCGACGCAATTCGTAAGGATATCGCCAATGCTCAACCTACCTCCCCACCTAGCCTCCCTCCCACCATAACCCCACCAACTCTCCCCTCCTCTGACCTCGCAACCGCCCTACCCCCCACCACACCTAACGTCCCGCACACTATAACTTCCCTAACACTCCGCTCCTTCAGCCTTGCTGCCACTGAGGAGGTCACTATGGTCTTCTCAAAAGCCTGCCTCACCACTTGACCCTGTCCCCACACAACTCCTACGGTCACCCTCCTCCTCCATCCTACGCTCCCTCACCCACATCTTCAATCTCTCCCTCTCTACTGGCACATTCCCCTCCCCCCTGAAGCACGCGCACATCACCCCCATACTCAAAAAACCCTCCCTGGACCCCACCGACCTGAACAACCTTAGACCCATCTACCTGCTGCCATTTACTTCCAAACTCCTTGAGCGCTTAGTCTACAATCGCCTATGCGCCCACCTCACTGACAACAACCTCCTCAATCCACTACAGTCTGGCTTCCGTCCCCTACACTCCACTGAAACCGCCCTACTCAAAATCACTAATTACCTGCTAATCGCCAAAGCTAATGGCCACTACTCAGTCCTCTTACTCCTCGACCTTTCCGTGGCCCTCGACACAGTTGACCACCACCTCCTCCTTAACAAACTACACTCCCTCGGCATCAGAGACTCTGCTCTCTCCTGGCTCTCCTCCTATCTATCCCAACGCTCCTTCAGCGTTACCTATAACGCTATCACCTCCCCCTCTCTGTTGGGGTCCCCCAAGGCTTGGTCCCCGGGCCCCTTCTCTTCTCCATCTACACCTCCTCCCTCGGCAAACTGATACACTCCCACGGCTTCAACTATCACCTCTACGCCGATGATACGCAAATTTACCTCTCCACCCCTCGCCTCACCCCTTCAGTCTCCATCCGTATCACCCACCTACTGAACGACATATCAGATTGGATGTCGCTCCATTTCCTCAAATTGAACCTTTCCAAAACCGATCTCCTGATTTTCCCCCCAGCCCGTGCCCCCCACCCACCCTCTCCATCACGACCAACAACTCCACCATCAGTCCCACCCCACAAGCCAAAGTCCTAGGTGTCACTCTAGACTCAAACCTGTCCTTCCAACCCCATGTCCAATCGTTGGCAAACTCATGCAGGCTCCACCTCCGCAACATCTCCAAAATATATTCGTTCCTAACCCCAGACACTACTAAACAACTCGTTCACTCCCTTAGTATCTAATGTCTGGACTACTGCAACTCCCCTTCTCACCGGCCTACCTCATCGCAGACTATCCCCGCATCAGTCTATCCTGAACTCTGTGACCAGACTCATCCACCTTACCAACCGCTCCTCTTCTGCCACCCCCCTCTGTCATTCCCTCCACTGGATCCTGATTGGCCAACGCATTAAATTCAAACTACTAACACAGACATACAAAGCCATTCATAACACTGCCCCAAACTACCTCACCGACCTGATACCCAAATACCACCCAACCCGTAATCTTCGCTCCTCACAAGACCTCCTACTTTCTAGCTCCCTGGTCTCCACCTCCCACGCCCGACTGCTGGACTTCTCCAGGACTTCCCCCATCCTCTGGAACTCACTACCCCAATCCATCAGACTGTCACCTTCCTCCTCACCTTTAGGCGCACCCTGAAAACCCATCTCTTCAGGGAAGCCTACCCCGCCCTCACCTAACAACCGATCTCCTCCACTCCTCCTACCACTCCATCCCCCACAGCCACTTCCTCCTGTACCACTATCCCCTCCCTCTTAGATTGTAAGCTCGAAAGAGCAGGGCCCTTGAATCCCTCGTGTTTTGTTTTGTTACTGTATTGTCTCATGTTCTGTCCCCCACTATAATGTACAGTGCTGAGCAAACCTAGCGCTATATAAATACTGTATAATAATAATAATATTCGCATATAGTGACTATTGTAAGTGATATGCAGGGAAGGGATGGATATGAAGGGGTTGACTTCTCACATTGTCCAGATCTTCTGTCTCAAGGACTGATTTACCATCGTTCTTAACAGTCGCTGGTTTTAACGGTGTGGCTTTTCAGGTCCAGGTTCTGAGAAACGGGCATTCTGAATTGGTGATTCCCTGATAAAAAATAGGAAATCTAGTTCTCACAAGGTCTACCATCGGACATGGAAGGCATATTTGACTTGGTGTTCGTCTCAGGGCTTCCACCCTAGGAGATTCTCTGTGGGATGTATCTTCTCATTCAGCTGAGTCTAGA